TCACTGTTGATCTCGCCTCACAAGACGATACCTGGAAGGTGCGAGTACTGTTACGTAAATTGGGTCCGGCAGAATATGAACGGTACTGCAACCTAATTTTACCGCAGAAACCACGTGACAAGAGTTTCGATGATACAATAAAGCTGCTGCGTGAACATTTTGGAGACCACTCCTCATTATTCAGTATACGTTATCGTTGCCTCAAGCTGACAATGAATGGAAATGATGATTTTCTTACTCACGTTGGCACAGTCAACCGAGAATGTGAGAGATTTCGACTCAGGTCCTTAACAGATGACCAATTCAAAGCCTTGATTCTCATATGCAGTCTTCAATCTCCTCGTTCCACAGATATCCGAACTCGACTGCTCAATCAGCTAGAGAAAAATTCTAAGTTAACTCTAAATGACGTAGCTGATGAATATCAACGGCTGATTAATTTGCAGAAAGACACACACCTAGTCGAATCAACACCTTAGAGAAGCTCTGATATTCGTGCATTACGAAAGGGCAAAAGTCTCTCTTCATCATCCAGTCCTGGCCCACCTTCTAATGTTCCACGAAAGCCTACACATACTAGTCCAACCGCACAAAATACCGCAAAGAAGACCCCACCATCACCATGCTGGCATTGTGGTGCGTGGCATTTTGTAAAGTCCTGTCCATACAAAAATCATCGTTGCAGCAAGTGCAAATCATTGGTCATAAAAATGGTTTTTGTCAGCTACGCAAACGCAGATGTCATAATCCAGCGAAAGCTCGACCAACTGTCGGTCCTAAATCCCCAAAAAGGTCAATGGAATAATATTGGCAGACCACCAATCGCAAATACTTCTCAGACTGCTGTCAGCGCCTGTGGCAGGCGCCTCAAACTAATGGGTGAACTCAAATGTTCTGTTTCCTTCCACAATATCAAATTCACAGAAATTTGTTACGTCACCAAGAGTGATTTAAATCTTTTGGGACTTGATTGGTTCGGTCGTTTACATCTGGCTGATGTCCCACTAAATTTTCTATGCAATGCAGTCAAGAAACATAAAATGTCAGACAGTTCTGGACGAAGCCGCAAACCCAACAGACAGACGTCAACAACAAGCTCAACGGTTCCAGATTAACCCCCAAGAAACACGCTACTACTCCTCAATCTTCTCAAAAAGGGAGGTGATATGTACCCACATAATATGTGTGTTATATTTTGCTATGTATACATGGATCGATATTCCATTATAATTAGCCAATCATGTTAAGACTGTCTATTGGTTTGTTCATTTCTGAACATTCGCTCATACACTTGTGTGACATTGATTTTTCCTTGTTGTTTGAAAAATACAAGTATCATCGTGAACCTGGTGGTTTTCTGATTTCCGCCTTCTTGCGTCAGGACTATTAATTACTCGACTAGTACATAACATAAAACAAACAATGAAAAGTCTCAAATATATTTTTCAGAAGAAAAAAGTATACACATCATCTATGTTGTTTGTTAACTTTGTTTATTATTCGGTTCAGATTCATATATGGAGCTTCAATAAACACACCTTCCTTAGTTTTTCGAGGGCTATACTGAAGAAAGACTGTATCTTATTACGCAGGATGTTAAAGGTTGTCAGCAGGGTGGTAAGCAATGTGCTACTTAACCAACTAGCTTGTTAATATTCTGGTCGACAGGCACTTGGATTCATATAAAGGGGCTAAATACATTCTATCTGTCTAACTCACACCATCAACCATTCTTTAAACGAGATATTCGACTATCTACCATAGGGCGGGTGTACTGCTCATCGATCCACTCCGTCCTCCTTTATGGCTGCGAGACCTGGCCACTGAGAATGGAAGACATGAAAAGACTAGCTGTCTTTGTTCATAGGTGCCTGCGTTCTATCTCCCGTGTGAAGTGGCATAATAAGGTGAGCAATATTGAGGTTAGGCCTCCGTCGAGTTCTAGGTAAACAGGGGAAATAAATCGACGAAGTTGTGAAGTTACAAAGACTGAGATGGTTAGGACATGTGTTACGCATGGCAGCCTAGTCGTCGCCTTCCTCAACGAGCAATGTTAGCGGATATAGGGTCAGGCTGGAAAAAAGCTAGCGGCGGTCAAACAAAAACATGGCCTCACCAGTCAATGAAATCCACATCAGTTAGTCTAAGCCAGTTACGTAGGAAGGTGTAGACTGGCTTCCTGGTTGGGGTCCTCAGGACGGTAAAAACCAATGGTTGGAAACGATTGGTGACATGGATCAAAGTCGTTCTCAGTGGCGCAGATGCATCCACTCCTTGTGACTTATGATTTCCAATATAACTGTTTTGTTCTTTGTTAATACTATTCCTTTGTCTCACACCTCTGTTTACTGTCTCTAGTATGCGTTACATTTTTACTTTCTTCTCTAGCTTCGTATGCGACATGGAGTGTGGCGACTTGAACTGGTGCACATATGTGCAAAGTTCTATGTCGAAAACAGACAGACAGATCAACCTCCTTCATTCACAACTCTCCCCTTGTATCTCATCAGGCAGGCCGCACTCTAGAAGCCTATATAGAAAACTATATGCTTGCACTAGTAAGTACAAAAAACCCAGTCATACCCTACTTAGCTCGTGTTCTGTGCGACAGAGAAGAAAGCATGATAGACGTGAGACTTATAACTTATTTAAATAGTCAGTAGAATAATTTGGATCTCGTCTTTCCAACTCCTCATATCACTTATAGGTACAACGTTTTCTTTCTTTCTTTTCCTTTACGCTCTATCTCTCTTTGTTTCACTGTTATGTACTACTTACTGCTTTGTTTCTTTCTTCCTTACAAACTGTATTTAAAATATTCTTCTTCGTTCTTTCACACTCTGTATGTATATCTCGACCATTTTGTTGCCGCTTACGTCAGTGAATATCCTTCAAACATACTGTTCACTTTTGGCCTTGTTACAGCCCGATATGCTACCGATATGTTGTTATAAGATTTGATAGTGTGAAATATTAGCATATTATGATATAAAAGTCAATCTGAATGAAGAAGAATATTCTTTTCAATACATCCTTCTCCTATTCAGGTTCTTACAATTATAAAATATAGTATAATATTTGTTGTCGTTACAATAATGATGGCCAGTTAGTTATGCGGCGGATACCTTTTTTAACGTAGAATAACAGATTATCAGTTATGGGGTGTCAAAATAAATAGTCATATTCGAGTGTTACAAACATCGTGCTAGTAGGCTGAAATCGATTACCAAAATATTTCGGTGAAATGGGAGACAATGGTGGTGGTGATTAATCGTCATAATAGATTTGTTGAGTGTGGGGTAAGAAAATTGACAAGTTCAAGGTTATAAAAGATTTGAGGTGAGTGGTTAGTACAAAGTGGTCTGTGTTAAACAGGAGATAGTAAGACTGAAATGAGAGGTGGTGGTTCATAATGAAATAACGAATGTGTGAAATGAAGAAACAGGTGGAGGCATATATTGAGAAAAGAGATAATATCACTTACTAGTGATAAGTCCGGATAGTATAAATGAAAAATTCGATAGTATTGAGGGAATGTTTGCATGAAGAGCATAAATTATGACGAATAATAATAATAATAATTGTAATAAAAAAAACCAAGAGGGTTAAAGGGAAGGAGCACTCTTGGTGAGAAGAAGAAGAATCAATTCAAGTATGGCCACGGTAGGAGGAACAGCCAGTGTCTGGACGTGTTATTTTTGGATATAAAGTTCCGCTTTAGTCGATCTTATTCCAACAGAACAGCTTCAGCTATGTGTAGGAGACGTAAGCGAACTAACTGTACGTGATAACGACTTCGGAATTCGATATCGGTATATAACCCTGAAAGCTGTGTTGACATCGACACGATGTTCAGGATCGAGCTTTTTATGCACTTAATCCCCCCCCCCGGCCCCTGCTGAACCAAGCTGGTAAATGTTCTCGAGCCCGTAGACGAACCTGCCTAATCGTGAGCCCTATATAACTTGTACTGCAGGAACAGTTGAAATGGTATATGCATGATGAAGAAGAGGTAAGGTTAGGTAAGACATAACTAATCTATTATTCTGCGTTAAGTAAAAATGTATCCGCCGCATAACTAACTGGCCATCATTATTGTAACGACAACAAATATTATACTATATTTTATAATTGTAAGGACCTGATGAATAGGAGAAGGATTTATTGAAAAGAATATTCTTCTTCGTTCAGAGTGACTTTTAATTCATAATATGTTGTTGTTGTCAAAAAACTAACTGAGATTATCCATTACCTATCGATGTAGAAATTTTATTTATTGTTAATGTACAAACTGGATGCGCAATACTGTATGTAGTAAAATGCTGAGAATTTCATTCTGTGTATCACAAGTACTGTTTTGAAATAAAGCAAATTATTATTATTATTATTATTACATCTATACATAAAATAGTGTTCACGTTACAAGCTGGCTCTATACAAGAAACAACAACAATACCACGACGTTTTGACACTATTAGCCAACCGAGATAACTTGGATATACACAAGAACAACACAACCACATGAATCGCGTCTGACAACCGAAAACAGACAGGCGAATAAAAAGAAAAAGACGATGTTCAGAAATGCAATCAACACAGTAACCACACAACTACGGTGTACAATTAGTAATAATGTGAGATAATGATAATAATATTAATAATAATAATCATAAAATCAAGTTCCTTATAAAAATAAAGGCGAGGATTTCTTTTTCGTCATATAAGATAGAGTAAAAGGAGAGAACTCAAAGGAAAGACAGTGTAATGGGTATTATTATTATTACCACTGTTGTTATTATGAAAATTATTTTCCCTCTATATATACATAGTTATTAGCCAATATAAAAAATAAGTCGGCGCATTTGTTCACTGTGATCATGACCGCATACACACACACACACACAAACACACCGACTTGAAAGGCGCACAGCGTGGATTTCGAGACATTTCACCAACCACCACCACCACCAGCAGCAGCATGCAATCAATCGATGAACCAATCAATCAATCTATTGAAAAGAAAAGAAATAAACATTAATCATGACATGAAATTCATCTAACATACAAATAAATTATGACGGTTTCATTGATTACCAGCATAAAGAACATGACTCTGATTTTCAGTACCGAATATATACGGAGGATTTCATCATGAACTGACTGACTGACGTCAGTTAGAGAACCACTGGAAAACCAGCCACAGAGAGTACTGCCAGACAGCTGCTTCCTCTACCCTAAGTTTGGGACTCTTCATCAGTACGCACCCACCCCCCACTGGCAGGGTTCGAATCCAGGACTTTCTGGTTACAAGCCCAGCGAGCTCGTACAACATTGAGCCGCTGGGACTCGATCCAATGGTCACTCAGCCGATGAATTCTAAATTCTGCCAATCTAAGCACGACATAGCGCGACCATTTCTCAATGTCTTCTTTTTCGATGAGTGAGTTACTGCCTCATCTTCAACCTGCTGTACACTATAATGGTCACGGCTTCCCCCTAGAACTTCAGGTTAACTGACTACCTGAATAGGGTCAGTCACTAGTGAGCATCAGATTAATTAATTTAGGGATTTTGTGTTTGATTGTATGGTAGCGCTGTGTCGTGCGTGAATTGGCAGAAGTTACAATGCAAGAACCATTGGATCAGGTTGCAGTGGCTCAACGGTCTACGAGCTAGCTCGCTGGCCTTGTAACCGGGAGGTCCTGGGTTCCAAACCCCGAAGCATGGGTGCGTACCGATGAAGAGTCCCAAATAAGGACAGAGGAAACAGCTGTCCAGTATTCCCAGCTGGTTTTCCAGTGGTTCTCTAACTGATGTCAGCTCATGATGAAATCCTTCAACCAATCAATCAAACAAAATCCCTACAAAACCAATACTTGAAAATCAATACAAATATGTCAAGGCGAATTCTTCAATCTGATTAGACGACACGTTTCGCTTCATCGCGGAATCATTTCCAGCAAAAAAGCAAACAACAGACTTCCAGCTGTTTCAACAACTGCCTCGTCTCCATACTGAAGATAAGATAACCAAAAACGGCTAACACAACAGTTAAAATGCTGTAAACAGATCAATTGCCTGTCGATTTCCAGTATAGGGATCCCAAAGCATTTGATGTCAGCGGAGAAATTCCTCAATAACTTTTTTACGGTAGCGATATTAAATTTCCGTTGTGCCGAACGGTGATACTAGACCTTAAAACTATCTTAACATTACGCATGTCGGCAAGTATGTTTTACTCTGAATGAACTGATGCATCTAAGTGAACTGAACGCTGTGCACTATCTTGACTGTGATAATCACAGAGGAATTAGCTTGACTAATATGGTGGCATTTAAAGTCCTAGGCTCAATAATATTACGTAGACTAAATGGTGCTCGGGAGGTACAAACAAGAGACAACCAGGAAGAGGGTGTATTGTGCATATCTTCACCTTTCGAAAGATTCTGCAAAAGGCATTCTCACTAGCGTCCAACAATCGTTATATTTTTTCACCTAAAGGCGGAATTCGATTCTGTCGACCGAGAGGTACTCAAGGTGAGAGCCTACGACGAATTGTAATCTGAAGTGGTGACGACTAGTGAAGTCCGTCAGGGATGCCAGCCCATTATCCCCATTTCCATTCAATTTCATCATAGATATCGTACTAATGGATTTAACCCAAACTCACTTCAGAGACTCACGGATTGACTTGCTACCATCAGGGAATAATCTCGTTGACTTAAAATATGCAGACGACATAGTCCTCCCTACTAGGCGAGGACGCTGACAAAATACAACTGAGTCTTCTCAACACCTTGAGCTGCAATCTACGAAAGTTTGTCATGCGAGTGATTCGCTCGTGCTGCTGTCAAATGTAAGATGATGTTACGAGACTGACTGGACTACACTGACTCACAGTTTAGAAATAGGCAGTGAAGTGGTGGGTCGAGCACGTTGACCGCTTCACTTATTTGGGAAGTACCATCAGCCAGTGCCAACGGATTGATCTCTGACGAAATCCCAGCTGAGTACGGATGCAGAGGGCTAGTTTATCATACGCGCACCAGTCTACGCCGTCTCAGCAGTCAGCTCCGTCCTCCATTATGGCTGGCTGGCTGTGAGACCTGGCCACTGAGAGTAGAAGATATGAAAAGATTAGCTGTCTTCGATCATAGGTGCCCGTCTACATTCTATCTCCCGTCTGTGCTAAAAGTGGTATAGTAAGGTGAGCAATATTGAGGTGAGGTATCGATCGAGAGCTAGGTAGCTGGGAGGGGAAATCAATCGACGAGACTGTCAAATTTCATCGACTGAGATGGCTAGGACATGTGTTACGGATGCATGCCTAGTCATCGCCTTTCTCGACAATGGACAATGTTAGCTGAAATACGATTGGTCAGGCTGGAAAAATCAGCCACGTAGGAAGGTGTAGACTTCCTGACTGTTTAGAATTCTCGGGACGGTAAAATCTAGGGAAGGCTGGAAACAATTGGTGATATGGCTGGCTCAAAGTGATCGTTCTCAATGACTGGCTGGCTGGCTCAGATGCATCCACTCCTTTTGACTTATGATTTCCAATGAAACTATATTGTTCTTCGTTCGTTATTACTATTCTTTTTGTCTCATATCGCTGTCTACTATCTCTGCATTATGCATTTTTTCTTTGTCGTCTTGTTTTGTGTGCTACACTACGTGGAGTGGAGTGTGGCGACTTGAACTGGTGCACATTTGTGCAAAGTTTTATGTCGAAAACAGACAGACAGATTTATTTATATTTCTGGAACTCTATGGCATCAGATTATCCATCATTAACTAGGGTATGTCTCATATGCGATGAATTCACACAATAGAAAATGGGCGGGTGTTATTTAACCACAAGTTAATCTTAGAAGTTAGTTTTCAGAGGCAATTGACAGTGTACAAGTGTACACAGATCAATAATGGTGATAAAAGCAAAAGAATCGGCAATCCGTAAAATCATCACAATAAAATATTAAATATTGAAGATAGTTAAAAACAGATTACAAACATCACATTTTAGGCTAATCGAAACATTACAAAATATTTCTAAATACAACCAACCAACTGACTGAGGTAACACGCTTAAATTTACATTGGGAAAATATAAAAGAGAAATTCAGCGAAGAAAATGCGTCTTTACCGACGAAATCATCTTCCTTCACAGGCTGGCTTGGCTGTACAGTCGTATTTATACTTACCAAAAAAAACGTATATAGTGGTCTATTATTGAGTAATAGGCGAGGTTGGGTGGGTGACATAATTGATGTAATTACTCAGAAGTGGCTTTAGAAGTGAAAAATTAGAAGTTGTAAATTACGTGGTACTCAACGCTAAAAAAGACAGAAATTTGATAAAGTTAAAATTGCTAATGAGTGCGAGTGAGAATAAAGGTGGTAGTTGAGTGTCAATTTAACAAGTGTGAAGAGGGTATGAAAATGTACAACAGGGAGCATGTGAGACTGATAATAGTGAATTAATTATTAAAGCAAAAGCAAACTTAAAGTAAAATTTTTTTTTAACAGGGAACGACTAGTGAGGAGGTTATGATCATGGTAGAATAAGAGACTGGACAAACTTTTTGTTGGTATACAGAGTTCGGGGTTGTATTGATGAATTGTCAGCGCCTCCGCCATACACAAAAGCCGAAACCTGACGCCCTTTGTACCATTTGGCTTTATTCTGTAGATGATCTTAAAAAAACGACTGGTGGAGCTACGTGGCCTAAGTTCACCAAATGGTCAAGAATTGAACTAGTATTTGTCTTGCATTGTCCCTTTGGTAATTTTCACTTCTAAAGCCACTTCTGAGTAATTACATCAATTATGTCACCCACCCAACCTCGCCTATTACTCAATAATAGACCACTATATACGTTTTTTTGGTAAGTATAAATACGACTGTACAGCCAAGCCAGCCTGTGAAGGAAGATGATTTCGTCGGTAAAGACGCATTTTCTTCGCTGAATTTCTCTTTTATTTTTTGCTTCATGACTCAATCAGTGGGTATTTTCGGTGATTTAAATTTACCTTTTTAAACGTCTCAGAAAGACGTATACAAAACCAAAGGTCGTCTCACAAGTCTACTTCTACCATCGATGCATTACAACAGTCAACTAGAGAATAATCATGATAGTGCGCTCTAGGGTGATTAACAGGGCAGCGATACAGTTTTCACATTCGAATTGAGCTAAACAAACACAACTTAATTTACCACTTCGATATGTTATATTCGTGAAAAGCACACCCTAAAGGAAGAAGACTGCTCCGATTGGTAGAGGACATCTCTAAGCAGAACACATGTAAAAGAAGAAAACTACTCTATCCTTTCCTCCCTGATAAACAAAAAAGATTTTATATGGAGGAGTCAGTCAACAAGGCTTATTACACATAAACCTGCTCAGGGCACGGGGTTATCACAGCACAGAAGCAGAACTGTACGAAAACAATCCAATATTCCAAGAAAAGAGAAAACAAACATTTAAATAAATAAATAACATGTATATATCAACAGTGATGAATGCAGAGTGAATCTATCTAGTTACCACCCGCCATAAGTCTCTTTCTTGTCAGAAATACAAAAAAAGATATAATTTAAATATTATTATTGTTCCCTTGGGTTCCTAGTTGAACATAGGGCCTCAATGGCACCTCTCCACTTGCTTCTGTCTTCTGCTGTACTTTTCACCTGCATCACCCATGTTAGTCCATACTGTTTCATCTCTTCACACAATCTCCTCCTCCATGTCGCCCTTGCAATGACAACCAACTCGCCGCTCCCCTTTCGGGTTCCACACTCGAGCAATGGCCTGACACGCGCGGGCGACGTCATCCAGTGTCTAATCCACCTCTTCACTTTCTCCTGCATATTTGTTGTTGTTGGGCGACAAATATGCAAGAGAAAGTGAAGAGATGGATCGGATACTCGCTGAGGAGGCCGCCGCTGGATGACATCACGCCTCAAGTGGAACCCGAAAGGGAACTGGCGTGTGGGACGTCCAAGGGTGTCATGGAGGAGATCGTGTGAAGAGGAGTTGAAAGAATATGAACTAACACGGATACAGGCGAAAAGTACAGCAGAAAACAGAAGTAGCAAGTGGAGACGTGCAGTTGAAGCCCTATGTTCCACCAGGAACCCAAGGGAGCAATAAATAAATAATAAACTATTTTTCAAGGTTAAGGAGTATATATTCATTCACCTTTGCAACAGGAGTTTCCTTGAACATCGGTTGAGTTAGATCTTCACATTCATCATCATCGGAAAATAAATCGGATAGACGCTGCTTCTTAGCCGAATTATGAGTAGTAGGTACTTTTGATTCGACAGGTGTACTACTACTACTCCGAGAACGACTGTCACGAGATAGCCAAGAAGATGATGGTTGATGATGCAGCTGCTTTCTGAAGTCTTTACGTGCAGAAGTTGACGGAACCTTAATAAAAATTGGTTTGTACAAGTTATTAATGCATGTGTATATGCATATGATGTATATACTCAGAAAAAAGAGGCTAATTCTAACAGGACAAAAACAAAATCAACTTGAACAAAGCAAGAAAAAAAACACAACAATTGTACCAGAAGATAATAAACGCTCATTTCTTTTATTATTATTATTATTTCGAGGATTCTTCCCAACTGGGGTTACAACCTGAACGATAATATATATATATATATATATATATATATATATATATATATGAATTACATTAGAGATTTGAACATACTTTTCCACGATCACAAGGAGTAGTAATTGGTTGGTAGGAAGTTAGAGTAACATTAGTCCGGAATGCTGATTTAACTGATTAAGAGTTACTGACACACACACTGACTATTGATAGAATAATTAGACAATATTAGGTTTTGAAACAAAATAAAGGATCGCGTATATATATATATATATATATATATAGTGAGGATGGGAGTGCGACAAGGCTGCCTACTATCACCAATGATCTTCCGAATTGCAGTAGATTGTATAATGCGACAGACAACGGCATCCAAAGAGAGAACAGGCATAAAAATGGACTCACACAAAAAGAGACTTGGAGGATATGGACTTCGCCGATGTCATGTATATGTCTAATTTCCCACAAACTGGAAGATATGCAAATGAAAAGCAACAAGTTGGCACAACAAGCATCCAGAGATGATAGGACTTCCTTCAGGTGAACATAGAGAAAACAGAGGTGATAATGATTCCTGGCCGACACCAACAGCAACAACAACCACAGCAGACAACAATCAGCCAGCATAAATGGGGTGGGGTGGGGGAACCTGAAAGAAACAACCTCCTTCACCTACCCATCTACCAACATGGGAAGCATCGTTTCAACTACAGGCCAGCGGACGGAACTGACGAGGATATCAAAGAAGCGAGGATCGGGAAATCAAGACAAGCTTTCACTACTCTTAAGTCTGTGTGGAAGTCAACAGCACTCAGCATCAAAAATAAGATCCGGATTTTCAACTCCAATGTAAAGTCAGTCAGTGCTACTCACTATACGGATCACAGACTTGGCGAGTCATAAAGAGCATCTCCAACAAACTTCAGACCTTCATTAACAGTTGTCTTCGCCCAATACTCAAGATGAGATGGCCAGCCAGAAAAGATCAGTAACAAAGATCTCTGGCAATGAGCGAACCAAACAGGAACCGATTGTGAAACAAATAGGCAGGAAGAAATGGAGATGGATTGGCTAGCCGTACTCTGAGGAAACCATCAAGTGAGTGACATCACTAGACAAGCCATTGCTCGAGTGGAACCCGAAAGGGAAGCGGGTGGCGAGTTGGTTGTCAGTGCAAGGGTGACTTGGAGGAGGTCATGTGAAGCGGAGGAGATGAAAGCATATGGGCAGACTTGGAGCGAGGTGAAAAAGTTGGCACAAAACAGAAGGCAATGGAGGTGAGCAGCTGAAGCCTTATGTTGCTCTAGGAACTAAAGGATACAATAATAATATAAATTATATATATATATATATATATATATATATATATATATATATATATACATATAGAAAGAAGGTTTCACTAGAAAGGGCATAACAAAAAGGTAGATTACGTAACTAGGGAAAATGTTTTATCTAATAGCCAATAGAAAAAAAGGAAAGAAAAGAAACAAGGTAGGGTGAGTCATGTGTTTAGATGTGAGAGTAGAGTTTCCCAAACATAAAAAAGGGTGACGCATAAAAGTTGTATAATTTTTTCTTATCACCAAGGCAGTCCAAGATTCACTACCGTCTCTTTCTGCCTACATAGATTTAGTTTAAGTCGTTTGATTGCAATTGCCTCAGCAATAGCGTAAGCTAGGTTTCTTTTGCTTGTTGATTATTTTGAACGACTTCAGGTTGACTTCTACAATATGATCAGTGTTCAATATATGACGCGCGTTCCCACTGTTTAATACCCGTGGACCTTCCAGTCTCAGGTTCTTTGGTATGTCTTCAGAAATGTGGACAATAACCCTTCTCTTTGTTCTTACAATGCATGCGCTTTGGGACGTACATGTAAATTCTGGCTATTGGATAAAACATTTTCTCTAGTTACGTAATCTACTTTTTTGTTATGCCCTTTCTAGCTAAACCCTGTTTCTATACACTCACAAATAAACGCGACTCTGTTTTTTAATATAGCAAAAATATTCATTCAGATATCTATAAAACACAAAATCATCGAGCAAAGAATATCCTCTTTTCGATAAATTCCTCTTCTGGCTCTACAATTATATACACATTTTTATATACACAGAATACTCTAGATTATTAGTTAATAACAATATTAGTGTGCTTTTTAAATAATATCGATTTGTAAAGTGAGATCACAATGGAATCTCCACAGTTCACTAAAAATACTTAAATTATAATAGTAATAAAGATATAATAGCGAGTAGAATATCAACTAAAATTAGGAAATTTCCACAAAATTTGAGAATCATTCAAACCGAGATGGCCAAGGTAAGGACAGCGTCTGAACTAACTTCTTTTCGACGCACAAATTAGGCTTTTTAATGTGGATCCCAACGGCCAGCCTCAGCAATATTTAGTAATCGAACTCTTAAAGCGGAGGAGTTGAGATTTGTTGGTATCCGGTAAATAACTCTAAAAGCCTGGTTAACATCAATCTTATGTTCTGTATCCACAAGATGAGTTGGGATAGAATAGCGCTACGAATAGATTTAGTTTGGCCTTTGCTTAACCACCGGTGCAGGGTGATGTTCGGAAATTCGAAGAGGAACACACCTAATTGTGCGGCCTATGCAACTAACTGGCTCACTCCACAGGAGCAGTTAAATTGGTAGATACACATGGATGAGGCGAAATTAGGCAGTTTGTCTTTTACTCCGGAACACAGAAAAGGAGTGGTCTTAAAGATACAACGTAATTCAGCAGCAGGGAATGCTCATTTTAACGCATTTCTAATGCGCTGTGTTTTTTGTTTCGAAACCTAATATTGTCTAATTATTCTATCAATAGTCAGTGTGTGTGTCAGTAACTCTTAATCAGTTAAATCAGCATTCCGGACTAATGTTACTCTAACTTCCTACCAACCAATTACTACTCCTTGTGATCGTGGAAAAGTATGTTCAAATCTCTAATGTAATTCATATATATATATATATATATATATATTTTATCGTTCAGGTTGTAACCCCAGTTGGGAAGAATCCTCGAAATAATAATAATAATAATAATAATAATAATAATAATAATAATAAAAGAAATGAGAGTTTATTATCTTCTGGTACAATTGTTTTTTTTTTCTTGCTTTGTTCAAGTTTATTAGTGGGAAGAATTGCATGAAGTTATTATTCATGCGGTTGGTCTGCTTCAGTGTCCTTCATCAGTGGCAGTCACCAGGACATCATCATAAAGAACCCTAAAATAACAAATTTCCCAATGACTCCGATGAAGCAGCTTTATTGGTGTTATATATTTTATCATCACAGTGGCCAAGTTTTATACTTATATCAATAAGAATTATGTTCCTAGGATTCTGAGTGGAATGGAGGACACGGGTGGTGGTATACGTAAAATAAACCATCAACCCTGAAAACCTGAGTTCCTTCAGAATTGCAGATACGCCTTACTCACAAGTACCTGATGACTGTTTTCACTGATCTAATAACAATGCAGAGGGCACCTTGATGGTAAGCCACCTAAAAGTCACGATAATATTGCGAATTCGACTGATAGACTTCAGTCTGTACCAACGCCAAGGGCTAGACACGCATAATATTAATTAATTATTACCGTGTACAGTCGAAACAGATGGTCAATGGCGATCCACAATAGGTCAGACCACTTGACTGACTGACCGATTGGCTGACTCTGGCTCGAATCTCACAAGTGACATAACCTCCTCCAAGATTGCAGAGACACACCTTGCTGACGAGCGCTAGCAAACACGAAACCTAGTCTCACCTGGTATCCCGTAGATTGCATTCACACATTTAACTATATATATTTTATTTTCGTATGTGCACTTTTTTGTTAAACAGTGATATGCCTAGAGATTAAAACTCATTGTAACATGCCTTATGCACTAACCAGGATGGCGTTTTTTTTGCAATAAGGTGATTCGGTCCCTGCAGTATTTTTATGAAATCAAAATAAGTGTACAGTGCCACCGATTACAGAGTTAGAGGAGAAAAAGTCACATGAAAGTGAAGGATAGCAACAAATTGCTTAAAATTCAGAAACAACATAGTTGCAATAGACAAAATTATGCGGCGGTGATTCAGCCGTAAAATGCTCTACAATCATGCATCTGGTGTCCGGGAGGGGCGGGGGGGGGGTTCGATTCCAAGCACAGGCGAACACCTTTGCCTCCCTGTTAGCCGGTTATACGGCCACAAAACTGAGCACAACAAAATCTACATAAGTTTATTTCATCAAATAACACAACACAAAGGCGTTTGGTATTAAAATGCCTAGATGACTTTTCAAGTGCAAATTATTGATAGTAATCATATCACAATTCAGTCATACGGTATCATATTTTGCTTCATATTTGAATTTCACTATCTCTCTCTCTCTGTGTGTGTGTGCCTTCCAACCGTTTTTTGTCGCCACTTAAAACCTTATAAATATGAAACTTGGGCACTGTGTGGCGGTAGAGCATAACTACTCCATTATTATGGATAAGATTTTATTTTGATAAACTGTCACACACAGTGTAGTGTAGTGTTTGTTATACAGTAAGTAATATTAACTGATACGACCACACGCCATTTCGAGCATAATTGATTATTACTGCCACTCATAATCATCACATCAAGTCACTCACTCACTCACACAACTTTCTTGTTTCCTTCATTTATATACACATGAGTGGAATTGATGATTAGACATTTGAATACAAATCAGTAATATAGGAGATAATGTACATTCAGAAATAATAATGATAATAGTTCTGTAGATTAAAGGACCTTGTGCT